CATGGGCCATTGGCTCAAGGTAGTTTATTCTTCCGTTATGCAATATAACATGTTTATGGCTGTTTTCCCAAAGACAAAAACCATCCGTGTACGATTTCGTTTTGATATGGATGACATACACCAAAATTGATATCCTGGCATGTTTTTTAATTCATTTTGCCTTTGTCTTCAAGTATAAAAATAGGATTGATGTCTGGAAATCTTTCTGCCTTCCCCCTCCCTCTTCCAACCCCAAGTAGTAAAAATTCAAATGATTTATGTTTGTTTATTAAATTTTCTTTATCAATTTATTTATTTGTTTATTTATGTATTTATTTATTGTCTGTAGGAGGTAGATTTAGAGGCCATGATTGGAGGATCAGTGGAGAATTTCACTAAAAATGTAAAGGGATGGATGGGGCTCAAAAAGTAAGGAACACAAAATTTTTACGTTGATTTCACAACGAATAGACTTTGACAAATCTTAAGGGAAAATGATGGAAAAGTCAGGCCATGTACCGAGTCGCACATCCTGCCGGAACTGATCCGGGTCTCTGAAGCATGAAGCGACTTGTAGTACTGCTCTTCTGCGTGGATGGCATCCTTGTTTATCGACTGGAAACCCTCTTTAGATTTTGTCAGTTTTTCAGTTTGTCCAGCGGACAGGTTTTGGTAATTTTGACTGATAGATGATTTTTGATATCTGAAGTAATGAACGCACTTTGATCGAGTGTTGTAAAGCTAAAACCTAAGAAATTGACACGGCCAATCAAAACAAAGGTCTTCATGGCGAGGAGCCAATCAGAACTCGACGTCGCTGACGTGAAGCGCAGGAAACGCGGGTCACGACTCGCGATGGGTTTTAGTTTTGTATCTGATTGGTTTTGAAGACCACGCATGGTTTTTAGACCAATCATGTCGATGTTAAACTGAAATTTGCTTAAGTTACCCAACTAGAGACCCACAGTTCGTATTTTATGGAATCTAACGTCAACGACTTTTTTTTAAATCGTAGATTTTCCAGACCAGTGACGTCCCTCCCTCTTGTGAGAGAAGTTTTCCCAACTCTGAGATCTATGTTAGAAGCTCTTAATGCGCAGTTCACGGACGCAGATTGCAAAGATATGAAATCTCATTTTTAATTAAATCTTCATAGTTTTCATAATTGAATATCATAGTTTTATAACTAAAGGAATACTGTCAGATTGATAGAGGATAAATAAATGTTATTTTTTCAAATGTGGCGAACTTTTTACTGCTCACAGTGTTGTAGGTCAACTCTTTCTGTAGTAGATAGCGAGAATTGGCAGTACAATTCAAATTAACTAATGATGTCGTTGGGAAGCAGTCTCAATCATCCGATGCGTTTTTTGCTTCCCATTCATTGGTCAAGAGCCGATGTGACCTGTTTCTAACTGCTTACGGACAATAATCTACTTATGTCCAAGACCCTCTGACCGTGTTTCGTTGCAAAAAAAAAAAATACATCTTGTTCATTCGCATAGTTGTAGTCACTCTTCCCTGGAAATGTAAGCTCACATCCAAATGGTCACCCTCGTTCCCAGATTCCTCTCGAAGAAAATTTTGAAACTTACTTTGAAAAAGAAACTTGGTGATAGAGAGCGCGACCATTACAAAATATCGTGATCTTTTTGTGTCTTGCTGATAAATTTTCCGTCAGCCTTCGTCAACTTCGACAAACGATATACCCGATTTTGCCTGTTTTTCCAGACTTTGGCCCGCTCTCATTATCATCGGTACCGTTGTTGCGCTCTGAAATAAAATCTCATACTGACTTCTTCAGCTCATTTTTGCAGCCCGCTGTCTGCCGCTATGACGGCAGACAGCGGAACCAAGCAAAACCAATTCAAGCTTTTCGAAGTGGATCCTGGATGGGTTAAAGCAACGTTAAATTCCTGAAGTCTCGTATTCAAATCTTCGCGCTCGCACAAGTCTTGCTAACACGTTGTCACGGCAATTTCTATTATAGGGACATTGCTGAATGTTAAACGGGAAGATCCGCACTGGTGTGCCAGCGTGGTCCACTTCTGTCACGGCCTGGATAGACGGTGAATTTTCCAGAAACTCCCTCAGATAATTAAAGGTATTCTTTGGTCATGCTCATAGTAACGAAGTTGTAACGTTTCAATGAACAGTCACGCTGGTCGTCGCGTGCACGATCACGGAAGACCACTGTAATTTCTCCACATAAGGTGTTTTGACATTATTCAAGCCTCGCCAATGTGAGGGTTCTCAAATATTTTGAATATTACAGTGAATACCGTAATAACAGTGGTCCATAACTAATAAAACACCAGATCCACATCATCTCGAGCCATTACAGAACAAATCGAGGAATTTAGCATTCGTCTTGCGATGCAGGAAATCGATCTTCCTAAACACTTCTACTGGTTGCTAAGCCAACCCACCGGAAGTTACGATTGCGGCAAGACTGTCAAGAGACTGCAGAGGGAACCACGAGGAAGATGGAAAGAAATATTCAGGATGATGCCACGATCGCAAAGTATGGTGTAACTAGGATTCCCAGTTAAATACGTTTAAATAGGAATTTGTTTTAAGTATAAATCAATTTTGGGTTTGAGTTTAGTGAGCATATGGGCAGGCACGGCACTGAAAAAGAAGAAAGAAGCGCTAGGTATTTTTCCGGCTAAATGACCTGCTCCTATTCGGGAAATGAACCTGCATTCCGCAGATGGGAAGGAACTAAGATTGCACTTGGATCAAGAGAAAAAGACATATTCCTCAACGATGTTTCCTGACCAGTCCATAAGCCGAAATAATGGTATTTCTCGAGTTCGTTCAAGTTTTCTATAAACATGGCGCGTTGAGATTTTTTTGGATTGATTGTTTTTTAATTAATATGATCATGACTGCTCTCATTCTTACCATTATTATAATTGTTATTTGCATTTTTTGTTATTTTTCAAACATTTTCAACCGAGTCGAGACAGTAAGGTATGCTAAAGCCAACTGCCTTGATCCAGATCTTTGGAATCACGATAGATGTAAGTTATTTCACGCTCTTTTATCGTACACACTCGTCCATCAAATCACCTCGAAGAATGACCCCGGAATTGAGGGGTGGCCTGGGAAAGAGAAGAGAGGCGGGGTAGGGGCGGGGGAAAGGGAACGGAAGGGGTGAACAAGCTCCCCCAACGTGATCAATTCCGTCACATATATCCGCACAAGTACTACACAATTATGTACACTGGGATTACTCTATTTTACTATTAACCACTTGCTGATTTGAAGCACCACATCCAACATGACTTCATAACAAAATAAATCGCTTTTGAATTTACACCACAATCAACCAGCTATATTATTATTTGAGTGGAAAATCTCCAGTACAAAGGATCAGTTATAACATAACCGATTGCAAAATACCTATTTGACAGTTGTGCAACATAATGCTCATTAGGGAAGGCAACATTACAAAATTATATTAGAATAAAACTACTATTAGTGATTGCACCAGATAATTACATAATGTTTTAGAAGAATTTTCCTCACTTTTTGCAACATAAACATAATATGCCACTAAATTCTTTTACCTCAGAGGCTCATTAAAAAAAGAGACTTGGCATGTTATACTAGGCTGGCCAAATAAATGCAATTACATGAAAAACAGCTCCATTTGCCAAGATCTTGCCATTGTGGAATCAACATCTATTCTGACTGTACTAATGGAGCTGCTTACATGTCCTCTTATTTTCTGTTATTTATTTATTTATTTGTCTGTTATGCAAGTGTGTCTGCAGTGTTTATGTGATTTGTAACAAAATCTACACAATCCAGGTTACCTCTTCCAGGCTAGCTTGACTTCATTCAAAGCAGGAAAAAATTTATCTTGACAAAAAAAGTACAGAGCAGTGAAAATACCAACCAAGCTTGTGTAATCAGATCTATTTTTCAACAGCATACTTCTCAGCATACTCAGCAAGAGAAAAAAAGTGTAACTTGTAAGAATGCAATGTCTGTTTAATCCTGTACACAGTTGTTCAGCTGAAATGATAGGTTAAAATCCTAAACTCTTCAAGTCTAACAAACTAAAATCATGAAAAGAATCATTTTAAACAATTCTAATGATGTTTAATCAAGCATGGAACAAGGTTATGCTTGTTCATTCTGCCCAAGTTAATTTCTGGTATACATGAAATACTTCAAACAGACTTGTCACACATAATTCACGTAATTGCCTCAAACCACATTTTCATGTCATAAATTCAACTTAAAAATAATGCGCTTGGATATCTAATTTTTAAATAAAACTTTGCTGTTAAAAGATTTTGTACTAACTGTTGGTACAAAGTGCACGTAGGTAAACAAATTTTTTTTTTAAGTTGTCCATTTTTGGGGGGCATAATTGACAAGTAAGCTCAAAGTCTCTTTGCAGTAGCTGATGCTCAAGCAATAAAAATCCAAGATGATATCATTGGCCAACAGAGTTATAAAGTGCAAAGGCAGTTGTAAAGTCGTTTCACATGGCCTTCACTTGTGTAAAATTCAGAAACATCAACCCTATATTTTGTACAATTAACATATTTATAAGTATGACAATTTTTATATACCCATATTGTGATGAAAGAGAACCTCTGCAACCTCATTTCCACTTCACAAAAAATCTAAGAGATATACATGTGTGAAATGCAAGAAATGAAAAAATCCCAAGTGTGTAATGTGAAAAGGTTTCTATACATTTTGGAACATAATACTTACAGAAGTTAAAGCACTATGAGCTATCAACAATAATTATATTAGATACTAGGCGTACATCATTCATGCATTTCCAGCTTGCCCAAATTCCTTTTGAAAACGAATAACACTACTTTAAAAAAATAAGAATGTGTTATCTTCCAGAGAAGTTCTTGAGCCTTCTAAATTTTCACATTCTTGTTATGTTGAGTGTTACAGAACCTCTTGATTTCCCACACCATTCTTCTAAATTCTCAAATCAGCAACTACTACATGGTACATGTAAAAATCTCATTAAAAGAAAATGCAGTTAAAATTTTCTTAAGTAAATATCCACCATTGCTGCTCAAAAGGTGATTCAAACCTCCAATAACCATTCCATCTGTACAGTATTTTGTTTGAAATTAAGAGCTGATTGGATGGCATGATTGCACTTGCGTGAAGGTGGTTCTGAATAAGACTTGACAGTAATGGACAATTTCAAAACTGATTTGACAGTCACTTGACTCTTACGGTAATTTTTGGTCAGTTTCACAAATCCCAGTCACCATCACTAACTTCAGTCACTTTGGCTTGGCTTGGCTTGGCTTGGTTTCTTTTTTCTCAGAGATGAAAAGTTCAAACAATCATTATCCATGTTAAAAAGTTGTGTACAAATTCCTGCTAAGAACACTTGATGCTAAGAACTAAAAATGTCACCTTGTCCATGAATTTCCTCATCACACCCAGAATACTTTATCTTGAGTTGGTGTGAATGGGTTGGAATCTTTCTTACTGAGGGGTGCATGTGGAGGGGGGCTGGTTTGCCTTGAAGCAAAGAATGATGCAAAGTCATCTTCTCCATTTGTTTGACGTGTGGTGCTGGTTCCCCACTGAGATGATGACGACCAGCCAGTTGTCCCTTGCGATGACACACTAGGCAGTGTGGACTGCAGATCATGTGTCCATGCATTTGAGAGAGCATCAATTTGGGATGACGTTTCTGCAAATGGATTTACAGTAGTCAGCAAACCCTGATTTGGTTGCACTGTCTTGGCTGGCTGTGCGGTATCAACTGAAGCAGATGCTAGCCACATTTCAGCCTCTGATAGAGGTTTCTGCCTCTGTACTTGGTTTGAGACATTCCATGAGCCTGACCCATTGACTTGGGGGGTTGCCCCCTGAATAGGATATGGCTGTAATGGGGGCACTGCATTGGGGACATTACTCCTTTGACTTAAGTTCGGTATAGCATTGGATGATTGTATTGTTGATGTTGAGTTTGTATTCAGCCCATTAAACATAGAAGGCGGTTGACTTGGAGCACTGTTCTGTGTTGCAGGACCTTGAGAGACTGGTGTTCCAAATGATGTTGAAATTGGAGTGGGCGTATTTTTCTGTAGCATAAGGGTATCAACAGTCGGAGGCAATTGTGGAACTGCTGGTTCTTCTGTCAATGTTTCATAGCCACTTGTGTCATTGCGTAGTGGCATGAAAGAGAGAGGATTGGAGCGGTACCTCAGTGACATGTGACGGGTAAAAGG